TCCTGGCTGGGAGGGTGGGGAGGCCCTGGCACAGGTTTCCCAGGGAAGCTGTGGCTGTCCCTGGATCCCTGGAAGTGTCCAAGGCCAGATTGGCTGGGGTTTGGAGCAACCTGGGACAGTGGAAAGTGGCCCTTCCCATGGAACAAGATGATCCTTAAGGTCCCTTCCAGCCCAAACCATTGCCAGGCCATTCCGTGATGCCCCGGCTGTGCCCTCCCTTCGGCTGGATCCCGCAATCCCAGAGTGGTTTGGATAAGAAGGACCATAAACCCCCTCCAGTGCCCCGGGTGGGGACCCTCCCCCTGCCCAGGTGGGATCAGTGTCCGATGGCTCCGTTCCCGGGAACGAGTCCAAGACAGACCCGTGGGCGTTCCGGAATGGGGAGGGACAGCGCGATCCGGGAAGGGCAAACAAACCCCGGGATGGATTTATGAGCAGGAATTCCCCCAGCTCAGGGTTTGGTTTTGGGCAGGGAGGGTGATCAGAGTTCACCCTGGAATAGAAACTTCCCAGTGAAAACTCACCAGATTTTCCCTTTTTCATTCCCAGAGTTGCCTCCGAGGATTTTGTGGCTGTTTGGAGCCGGCACGGGGCTGGCAAAGGTGCTGAAAAATCACATTTAAATAAATCTATTTTGTGGCTGTTTGTCTTGCTGTTAAACCCTAAGTGGGATCCGTTGGGAAAATGGGAGTAATTGAGGAGTTTTGGAAGGAACTGGGCAGGAATTTGGAGGGAATTTGGGAGGAATTGAATAATGGGAAAGGAATTGGGAAGGAATGGGGAAGAATTTGGAAGGGAATTGAATTTGTCAGGAATTTATCTGCAATTTGAAAAAAAATCAGAAGGAATTTGAGAATATTGGGGGGGACTTGGAAGGAATGGGGAAGAATTTGGAGGGAAGCTGGAAGGAATTTGGAAAGAATTGACAAATTCTAAGGGAATTTGGAAGGAATGGGCAACAATTTCGAAGGAGCTGGGAAAGATTTGGAGGGAATTGGGAAGAATTTCACAGAATCACACAGAATTTGGAGGGAGTTGGGGAAGATTGGGAAAACAGGGAGAGGAAGACCAGGGAAAACTGGGAGAGGTTTCCTTTCCTGGAGAAGATCAGGGAAAATGGACACTGGGAGAGGTTTCACCTCAGTTTAGGGGGTACAGCAAGACCAATCATTCCCTGGAAGAACCTGCCCAGGGACACGTTGGAGGCCCCTCGCTGGAGGGTGAACCTGGATGTGGTTCAGGATAATCCCACCCGGGGTCCCTTCTCCAGGGAAGGCTGGACCTGGTGGCACCTGGATCTTTCCGAGGTCACCCCGGGTTGTGCTGCGGGGCTGTGACTGACACCCCCCCTCCCTGGGGAGTTCCCAGTGCCACCCCCGGGGTGTTTGTCCCCGTGTGATTTACGAGGATGTTCTCCAAGGCCTCCAGCGATCCCGGCTCCGAACCTGCCACGTGGCTTTGGGGGGGGGTTGGACTGAGGGTCATCCCCGGGACACGGATCTGGGGTGTCCTGGAGCTTCCTGCTGGGCCTGGGACAGAGCAGCTGCTCCCAAAGAGGTGTTTGGTCAAACCCCCCTTGTTTGCCCAGGGGGACAGGCCATAAATCAGCCTTGGGCTGGAAAACCCCGGCCGGGGGCTGGGATGTGTCCTCGGAGAGCCAGGGAATTGTGGAGGGTGGAAAAGGCCTCTGAGACAGAGCCCAACCTTCCCCCAGCACTGCCAAGGCCACCCCTGACCCACGTCCCCAAGTGCCACATCCACAGGGCTTTGAAACCCCTCCAGGGATGGGGTCTCCACATCCCTGTGCCGAGGTGGGACAGCCCTTTCCAGGAGGAATTTTCCCAATATCCAGAATAAATCTCCCCTGGCACAGCCTGAGGCTGTTTCCTCTCGTCTCTTGTTCCCTGGG